GACTTTTTGGGGTTGGCCAACTTCAAACTGCCAAGTGCGTTGGTCAAAGCACGGCGTTGCAAAGGGAAAGGGAGGCACCCTGATGATTCGTCAGTGATGAAGCGCCTGCGGTCTACGTTGGCGTTGTATCAGTCGTGGGATCGACTCTACGATAAATCTGAAAGTTTGCAACCTTCGTAGGCTATTCTCTTTTCTCTATAGCACTTTCACCGCCGATAATAAATGCTAACCAGGAAGGCATTGGCTTCCCATGGAACAGCTTCCCATTTGAATCGAGACCTAGGTACATCGATAGAGACTTGAAGGGCGATTACAAATATAGAAGCTAGAACTGCAAAATGGACCTGCCAAGCAAGTTGTGACCCGTCAAAGTTGGCTGCATATGAGTAGTGATGGATGAAGATTTCTAGTAGCTGTCCATCTTGTGTTGACGTGGAGTAGTGATGAGCCTCGTGCTCTTTATGAGCCGAGTCATGGGTCTGATCCCCGTCGCGCTCGAGGTTTTTGCAAATGATGTTGCGTTTAGTTTTTGACATATACTGATACACATCTCCATCTCCATCCCGTTTTCTCCTGCGAAGATAGTCTCATTACTATCCGCTGAATTCGGAGCACCGAACACAGCAGTCCTTCAACTTGCGAAGAGAAGATTGCTGCTAGGATTGCTTATCAGGATAGCCTGCTGGATTGTCAAACAAGATTACGTTGATCTTCCCAATTCTGCTCGAATTGCCTTCATCCTCCACTACAGTCCCAGTTTGATTCGTTAGAAACGTCTGACTCCAACCCTTCATTCGCTTCAACATTGACTCCTGCGATGATTCCATCACGAAGTTCAGCAGCAATTCTAGCAGCAATCTTCTTCTTCTCAATAGTTGCAGGACTGCTGTGTTCCGGTGTTCCAAATTTAGTGAAAAATTTTGAGAACCTTCTAACCAAGAAAGGTCATTAGGCCAACCTGGCCAGATGAAATAAGGTGCACATTTCTGTACGCAGCATGAAATGCTGAGCTCAAATCTGCTTTCATTGCCTGCTAAACTCTTCTCCAAAAAATTACGGAGGGTTTTTGTTGCCACCCTTGATTTTCGGTGTCTTGCCTGCAATCACTTGTTAGCTCCATTATAAAAGTCTCGGAAAGAACCGAAGAACGATGTGGTGAGCTTCGGTTACGCGGTTGGTAGCGGTCTTACTTTTCAAGCAAGGGGTCACGGGTTCGGTTCCCTCCGGAGTTTGGTGTTTTGCTTTTTTCAACATACCTAAAAGGGCTTTTTGCATCCGTTATATTATAAACGGTTGCCCGACGCTGCACCTACAAAGAGTTTGTAAGCAATTTCTCTTAAACTCGAGCGCTACTTCTCTGTTAGTCTACATGGTGCCCGTAGTGCAGATACCAGGTAATTGACGGTTTTTTTTGTGCCAAGCAGGTTTTTTTTATAGTGAAGCGTTTATTGTGCCGACGTTTCGACTAGTTCGTCGTCTTCAAGGCTTGGAGGAAGCATCTCGGAAATTTTCAAATGAAACATATTATCAGCTTTCCCATATGGGCAGATTACGCAATTTTCTACGACGCAGGTTCGGTCGTAGAGACGATTTATGACTAGTTTGTGTTTGGTGTTCTCTCTTGGTGTGTTAACCAAAAAGACTTCATTAGTCAGATCGGCCCTCCTGATGCATTGCTGCATAACTGCGCTAAAATGATCTGATATAAATGGTAGCTGAAGATACAGCCTGTTTCCACCTCCGTATGGGAGAAGTCTTGGTCTGCTTCGTCGTTCACGTTGCCGCGCTGTGTACCCGTTAAGATTAGCTATTTGATGATGATGATGATATTTCTTGCTCCTAATTGCCGGTGCATACCTCCATAGCAGTTTTGTACATGTTACGTAGTACCGTACGTCCAACAGAAGCGAGAAATATCCGGAGAAGCTGTTAAACGTGCGGTACTACGTTCTACAAAACTGCTATGGAGGTATGCATCGGCAACTAGGAGTGAAAAATATACAGCGGATTAGCTCATCAAATAGTTTATCTCAACGGGTACACAGCAACGTGAACGACGAAGCAGACCAAGACTTCTCAAATACAGAGCTGAAAACAGGCTGTATCTTCAGCTACCATTTATACCAGATTATTTTAGCGCAGTTATACAGCAATGCATCTGGAGATACAATCTGACTAATGAAGTCTTTTTGGTTAACACACCAAGCGAGAATATCAAACACCAAATAGTCAGAAATCGCCTCTACGACCGCACCTGCGTCGAAGAAAATTGCGTAATTTGCCCATATGGGGAAGTTGAAGACTGTGCACAGAGATCTGTGGGGTAACAGCTTTAGTGCCTAACTTGTACTGCCTTAAACATTGGAGAAACTAGAAGGCAATCAGGCGTGCGTGTGAAAGAACATCTTACTGGCGAACGGAGAGAAAATTTAGCTGCACCGCTCGGTAAACACAGAAGGGAAAGTCATTCTGGTTCTGATTTCGACGTCAATGTACCATACTGGCCTATGAGAATGACAACGGTGCTAGGAAAACTCTCAAAGCTCTCTCGATAAAGCTTTGTAATCCATATATGAATAACAGGAATGAATGTATTTTCATAACCGATGATTTCTTGCCATATATTCCATTATGTGAGCTCTGATCAAAAGGACATGACAAAACGCACGTACGCACCATGGTGGAAGTGCAGTGATCGGTCAGTCTCATTTCCTACTATATTCCAGCGCGGAGAGGCTAGGGTGGCAGTGGAGTGACCACTGCTGGATTCGTCTCGGGTTGGACCTTTTGCTCTAGTTGTTACTAGTTAGAAGTAAGCGTAAAGTAGGGTATGTTTTATTTGAAAATTTCCGAGATGCTTCCTTCAGGCCATGAAGACGACGAAGTAGTCGAAAAGTCTGCACAAGAAGCGCCTCACTATAAAAAAAACCTGTTTGGCACAAAAAAACCGTCAATTATCTGGATATGCCAAGGTCTCAAGAAAGGCGAACTCGGACATTACTGCAGATAACAGGCTTCCCCTTGGCAAGAAGATGCGATATTCGTATCTAGGGAATCAAAATACACCTAGAAACGAGTTTCTCGCGAAAGGTCTGAGGTCATAATTTAATTAAGAAAAAAGCGGAGTAGTGATGGGATTACCACTCCTCAAACGCCACATTTTTGGATTGACCAATCATAGACGACGGGGGAGAAGGGAAAGAAGGGGTTGTTTCTGGGAATTGCCTTGCAGGTCTTCGGATGATGCAGACGGGCAAGCCAGACACAATTTTTGTCTATTCTGGAGAGTGTTTTGAAGGTTTGTTCTACCCCAGTGCCAGGCTTTTGTAATGGATTGGTGGATAGGTGAATAGGTGACTGCCCGATTTTTCGAGGTTAGGTCAAAATTTCAGATTTGGCTAGAAGTTTGCTCTAAGGAAGGGTCCGACTCCCTGACTATCGATATCATACTTGTTCGAAGCAAAAATGCCGACGCCTGCGCTACAAGCGCCTAAAGTAGTGAGGGGCGATGCCGCCCGAGTTCGTTAGTAATTGCTCTCAACTTCTTTGTAATTTCAGCTATACGCGAGCATCTTGCTAGTTATCTTACTGCAAACGGCGAAACAATAAACGTGGATCCCCTGACTTCTTTTTTCGAGAGCCTCGACTACTGCCTCTGCGCTTTTCTGCCTCATAATTCCATTCAAAGAAGAGTTTTGCAGATAATGAACGCATATTTGTCCTTTTTTGATAACGTCCTGAGGCGCGCATAGACATATGTATATCATTTGAATTGCAGGGTTGACCAAATAACCTTTCCTGGTAAGGAGAAAACGGCATGGAGATGTAGATGTGTTCAGTATATGCCAAAAACTAAACGCAACATGATTTGCAAAAACCTCGATCGTGACAAGGATCGAACCCATGACTCGGCTCATAAAGAGCACGAGCCTTATCACTGCTCCAACATAAAAAGATAGCTACTAGGAATCTTCGTCCATCACTACTCATATGCAGCCAACTTTGACGGGTTACAACTTACTTGGCAGGTCCATTTTGCAGTTTTAGCTTCCATATTTGTAATCAATCGTCAATGCTCTCGATATACCTAGGTCTTTATGCAAGTTCCATGAAAAGTTCAATGCCTTTCCTGTTTAGGGCAGCGGTAACGGTGCCGCTTATGAGACAAGACGGTGCATCGAAAGTTCATACCCGTGTGTGACGCAAGGTTTGCAGGCAACGTGGGGCAATGCACTCCCACTGTAGCAAATTAGCAATGGCTCAATAGGAACGCTCCACACTGCCGCTGGCGAGGTTGCTGGATCTGCACCGCTTGAAGTCTAAGATTTGCAAACAACATCCGTTGCTTACCTGTTGTCAGGATCTCTTCCGATGCGGTGATAGAGTGGTCTAGTGCACTGGCAGCAACCTTGGCAAAGCTTCGATTCCTGTCATCCAATATTCAAGTTCGAGAGGGACGCAAGCTGCAGATAGCATGACAAGGCTGGTGGTTTCAAAAAGAGTCAAGTCCATGTTTCCACGTTCCTTAGTCCTCGTCAATGGGTGAAAATCACCACATCTGATTGCCAGTCTAGAGCACTTTACTGCCGTCCCAGGTTGCAATTCAAACAGATTAAAAGGAGGAGCATCTGTTGTGTGCTTCCTCAATATCATGACTGAGATCATGATAGCGGAGAATGAGAAACCGTTGACTGCTGGAAAATATTTTCTGAAAACTGCTGAATTCGAAGCAGTGCTGTTGCATTTGTAATGTTTATTTGTATTTATTGCGTAAATACCGCAGGCATTAACAGTGAGCTGGAGCTGAATCTCGAAAATTGAACCACAGATTAGCTGACAAGAGATCGACATCAAATACACTAGTCATAGCTGAGCGAATGATTGCTGACTAGAATCACAATTATTGCTAAAAGTGGGGTAGATTTCAGAGCAAAATGGGGACGAATCACTGGAACTTGGTACAAAAGAATGACTAGCATGAATAGATACTATAGATAAATTTAGTCATAGTGTTGTGAAGCCAGCACGACGGTAGAATCAGTCATGGCCTCTTCTGCGCTGCAATTTATGAGAGTAATTCCTTGAAAACAAGTATACAGCGAATGAGAAACCCACCTCGTCATGACAGAGGTAGGGAAAATTCCATCACTGCTAGCCTCGCTTTTTTGACTGGGGCTCACAGGACCTTCAGCTGAACGAATGCTTTCCAGCATAACATCGCAAGATTTTCTATTGCCTTGAAATTTCTTTTGACGTGCTCTTGAGTTCTGCAATCAGAGTAATTGTTCTTTCAATGAAGTGCGCTTTTTTTTCCTTGTTTCGATTCACCTGGAACCAAACCTGGGTTACTCGCTTGCTCAATCCAGTAATGTTTGCTATCCTTTCTAAATCTGCTCCATCTGGATTGCTGTCAACTTGGAAGTGAGCCTAAAAGCCTCATAGCTATTCTCAGGAGTAAGTGTCATTAAATAAAATGGTTGAAATAAAAATGCTAAATCATGCAAAATGTGATGCAAATTCGAAAAATCTTATAGCTGAAAGGGGGAGCCTTTGAGCATAATATCTGTTATTAGGAACAAGTGCGTCCTGTTAAACCTTCCAATGTTAACAATTTTATTTTGCTTGAGGAAAAAGCGATTTCATCCAGTCAGGGTTATGTGTTCCTTCGTACGGGTTTCCTTGAGTGCCGCACTGCCACCGAAAATTTCTCGCAGCTTCGAAGGCACAGGTCGGGATCGAATTTGTGTGTTATATTGTTGGAAATCAAAATAAAAAAGCACTAATGTGGAAAGAAAAAAGAAAAGCAAGAAAAGAAGAGTGAGGAGAAAAAGCGAAAAGCGCCATAGAAAACACTGAAATGTTCCTAGTGAAGTTGGACGTTGTATAGGGAAAGACACAGCGCCGCGAGGAGAGGGAAAACTCGAGATTGCGCGTTGCACGCGAGAGGACGCTCACGTTATACCGTCATTGGTAAGGTAAGGGACGTACACCTTTTAGCACCTAATCCCAATCAGTGCGCTTGAAGTCAGGGAAACATGGGAGCAGCTTGAGTTCCCTGATGCTGTTTTTCTCGAATAGTTAAAGTTCTGTTCTGCAGGATTGTCACATCGCTTCACTTCCACTCTGTCGTGTTTTGCCTCTGGTTCAAAAAATGGGTCCAAAAAATTAAGAGGCTGTTACGGGCTTACCACGAATAATTATTTTTGTACTCTCATTCAACTGGTGCTAAACGCCAGGCATCTGCGTGACATACGTTGGAGCGTGCTCAAATGGATCTCCCACGAAAAAACACTGCGTCACTTCCCACAAAAATGATACCTTAGGCCCCTATCATGAGGTTAGCAATAAGAATGGATCATAAGCATTTGCCTCAATAACAATTGCTGGCTCCGGAATTTATTCCTCCTATGTTTGTCAGGAACATAGCGCACATACTAGCAGAACCGTTGACTTATTCACTTGACCAGTTGCTATGTTTTACGGATGTCTCTTCGAGGTGAAAGCACTCCTTTGTTACGCCGTTATTGAAAAAAGAACCATCGCACTCGTTTAGCAATTACAGTAAGTATTACTTAAGTATTACTACTACCGTATTACTATTACCTGTAAGTATTACTTCTTTTTTCTGTAACATGTTTGAAGGGATCCCTTCGGAACATATTATGAAGCATCCGGACAAAAATGGAATTATATCTGAAAAATAGCACTGGTTTGTTCCTGGTAGGTCATTGAAAACCAATCTCTTGGGATGTATCAATGACTGGAGTGATTATCTTAAAGGAAAAAAGGCTTGTGGGGCTGTCCATTTTGATTTTCTCAACGCTTTCGATAAAGTTGACCACTCTAAGCTCCTACTTAAGCTGGTCCAGCTTAAATTTCATCTCATAATCTGTTCATAGATTGAGAAATTTTTGTCTCAGAGAACGTTCCAGGTTAGACTTGGTTCTGTCTTTTCTGAGGTAAACAAGGTTAGAAGTAGGGCTGCTCAGGGTGGTGTTTTATTACCCATTCTTTTCGCTATTTACAGTGCCGAGTTGCCTAGGCTTTTGGAAGGATGTGGTGTTATTTGCAAACAGTTTGCAGATGTTGTCAAAGTTAATAGGAAAACAGAGTAGTCAGTAGGATTGAATTTAGAACCAAGGGCGGCTCTGTGAAAATTTCATACGCAACGGCTCCTACCGAAATTTTAAGCTCCACCGTTTTACCTGTACAGCAGGCTCATTTTTTACCTCTCCTCTCTTAAATCAAAAGTAGCGCTGTTGCTTTGATTTGTTACGTCTACCTTATGTAGCGTATGAATGAATGAATAAATAAATTGTGATAGCTAGTTAGACCATGAAAAATTTGAATTCCCGCCGTGAAACTTCCACAACTGTTAACGGCGTGGATTCAACACGTGCAAACGTGTCGAACTGAGCGCGAATAGGATTTATGTTGGACCTTCTCATAAACTTACACACAGATACGCACTTGCCGTGAACTTCGTCACAAAAGCTCTTCCGGTTCCGCCCACCGGTCCATTCCGATCCTACAGATGAGCCTTCCCAGGTGCTCTATCTTTTGGGTATTTCATTCCTTTCGCTGCGAACTTTGCTGCTCATGATCTTCAATAATCATTCGTAACACCTATACGCAAGATGAGAATGACCAGTCTTCAAGTGTAAGATTCCAACTGACTCAGACCACCAAAACGCTTAGAAATTTCCAGTGGTTATAGTGTGGTACGACGGCAACTGTCGACGGTTTTAGTTAGCATAGGATACGATTGGGGAATGTGTATGATTTATTCCGCGGAGAAGAGGGAAGTTCTCTTTTCAATTACGAGTACCTCCTCCGAAAAAACGCAAAATGGCACCGACATGGCTGTGCGGTTGCGAGAAGTATGTGCCGGGTCGATTATGTGCTGGTGGGTACGAAAAATTTTTCCACCGATGCTCCTCTCTTTGGCAAAATTGTGGTAGTAATCGGCTCTGATCATCGACTATGTGCATATTTTAAAGAATCGTTTTCATAGTTGGTCCGAAGAGAAAACAAGCAACGCTGGCAAAAGACAGTTACACTTCTTTCTTTCATTACTGAGGAGTTTGTTCCGCAATAAATAATTGGAACTGCACAAGAAGATCAAGTGAATTTGATTCTGTCAGCATGAATAAAGAGGATAGAAAATGCGTGTAGAAATGAATAAAATTGATTGCGAAAGTTTACCTGCAAAACACTCAGTTGCTCCTCCGCGAACGTTGTACGAACACGCTTGATTTTTGGCTTCTGTTGTCCGGTTCCTTCAATGAGTAAGAAGCAATACTTCGAAGTTTCTCTTTGACAGCAGTAACCCAAGATACAACTTAAAATAGTGTGGAGCCAAAGAAAAGACGATAGAATGCTCATCTGGAGCCTAACTGACTTATGTATCAGGTGTTCAACTCATTTTCTCAGCTACCTTGATGGGAACGACTATAAGCTTATAGTTATGATGCTATATTTCGGAGTGAAGTGCTAAATAAAAAGCTTCATTTGACGAAGTTTCGGGACGTTAACCCTTCACCTGGTTTACAAAAGCATCCATATTGTGAACACAAATATGTAGTAGAGTGAATTACATACAACATTATATGCAGATGCAAAAGTATCTAACCATACAAAAAGGGGGAAAACCGGGTTGAGGGAGAGCGGATCAACTCCAATAAGTTCGTGATCGCTGTAAAAGTGATGGTACAGAGATGTGGAAGAGCACGGGATGGAACCAATCTCTCCTGCTACTTACACGGCAAGTAATAGAGCAGCTAGGTAGATAGGAACCACGGTGAGCATGGTGGCATCCGATACTCTTCAATCTAACATCTATTAAATAGACATGTCGATCCCAAAATGTCATTACGTAGTGATGAGTTACGAAGCTGCTAAACCGTAAAGATTTACATATACTCCATGTGATAATTAGTTTCTGCCGCATTAGTGAATCGTTCGCTGGTTCAACAACACAAATGGAACACAAAAAAAACGCATTATCCGACATGCACTTTTCTGCTTTTGATTTGAATGAAACGGCTGCTTAAACTCAGCGGAGTCTTCTGAAAACTTAAGAAAGGTTGACAACGAACGCGAAAACTATTGGGTAGCGACTTTCTGAACTGAAACGCTGAACCAAGACGGGGGAGGGTACCGCGGTACACTTCCCGGTCAATGCATTACGGTGCTGTAATCCTTCATTATGTGCATCACTTCAGAGGTGCTTTCAACCTCAATTTCATTTCTTGAGGACAATGTGAGAGCGCATTGAAAAGCCAAGGTGGACAACCGCTGGACAAGAGTATTTTCGGCGATAGATTGAGCCGGTCCGCTTCTCACATTTATCAAGCACATGCGGGATGCACTTGGCAGGCCCATTGCAGCACACACATACAGGAATAATTGTCCTGCAATTGCCGATCGCGTTCGAAGAATGGGACACTTTTCCATGAGAATTCTCCACCACCTTCTGGCCACTGTAATAGGACCACACACACCCTATTATTGAGGACGTTCTGGTTTCTAAGGGTTTACCATGAGTTGGGGTAGGTTCGAACGCTTCAATCATCTTCAAAAGCCTCATTTCTGCTCTTAACATCGCGTGTTTCTGTACCAGTACACCTTTGTGATGTACTGCAGCAGTTCCTTCGTGTATGCTCCAAATTTCAGCGAGCTAGGTTACACTGCGTGAGTTTGACGCGAAGAGCCTTGTGAGAAGCAGTTTTCCTTTGGCTTTCAGGAGAGCTTCAAGTTTGTGTGATCTAAATTTGGGGGCGGTAATTGCCGTTGAAAGGTCAAAAACTCGCATGGCACAAAAAAGTGTAAGAGCATTTTATTGAAAAAGCAAGCGTTCATGATCAAATTTGAGCATTCAATATCTTACTTGATGAAGGTTGGGACCTTTGAATGGTACAGGGGCGAACTTCTGTGGAAACGCAATTGCCGCTCCTCAACAGAAAAAAATTCTCACCTACAAGTGGAGACTATGTAAAAGCAGGATTAAAGCCACTCTGTTCTATTTTTTAAACTCAAACGCTCAAACTTGGAGAAGTTGTATCTTTTCAGAGGATGGAAAACCACGTTTTACTGTTTCTTGCTCTTGAAGGAAACGTGCTCCCAAATAGTACGCGACGCACCCGGACGCATTTGGCATCAGCGCACACTTGCGTCTGCTTAAGTGACAAATGTTCGGGCTATATGGGGATCGTTCCGAGAGGTCTGGTAGTGGGGGAGGATTCGTAAGGTAATCCGAAATCCATTGAAGCTCATTATAAGAATCGCGGAATAGGTTGTACTTGTATGCCACATTTCGAGAAGACGCATGTGGAGGCTGTGTTAGAGTTACGAGTTGGTGGCTGTCCTAGGCCTTGTGAGCTTGCCAAGGCAAGGCATAATCTTTCGAAGAAATCGTCGGCATCTGT